GCCGGTAGTAAAAGGACAGGGCGGACGTCACCCAGCTGCCCGCAGTGTGCCCGCAGTGCGCCTGCAGTGCACCTGCAGCACACTTGCTCCGAGAGACGTTCTCGTCGCTCCGCCTCTCTCGCACCGGGACGCCCCATGAGTGCGAGGGAGACAGCAGCACACTTATTCCGAGAGTCGTTCTCTTCGCTCCGTCTCTCTCGCACATGTACGGGACGCCCCATGAGTGCGAGGGAGACGGAGCGACGAAAGCGACTGCCATTCCAGTGTCCTGCCTGCACTGCGGCTCACAGTGGGCCAGAAGACCGGTGGAGGCTTGTTCAAAATGCACCACCACCACCGCACCGCCGCACCCAGGGCCGCCGTCAGTAAGGCATGCAGTGCAGGCGTGGCCGTGGCACGCAAGCGCCATCCGCGACCTCGAGCCGCATGAGGTGCCGAGCGGGGCTGGGTTCGCGTTGGCCGGGACTCCTGCGGCGCGCGCCGCTCGCGCCTTGCTGCCGCCCAGGTCAAACCACAGCCATGCCTCGCCATGGCTACCGTTTTGACCCAAGCCGCCGGGGTGCCGCCCAGGCCGCCGCCAGCACGGCCTCCCCGCCCCGAAGCGCCGAGGACCTGGCCATACTATCTCTCTCACACTCAGAGCCGTTCCGAGGGGTGCAACAGAGACAGAACGGCCTGGGCTACGGCGCGGTCGCGCCGCGGCCGGCGGGCCATGCACTCGCCCTGTCTCGCCGATTCGCGGAAGACTGGCGGTCCTCCCCCTCCCCCGGGCGGAGGGCGGCCCGGCGGGCTTGCCGCCCTGGACAGGATAGTGCAGATCAGAACCTTACGCCGGAGGGAGGAGTCGCACCAGCCGCACGACCGCACAAAATGTTGGTGATCATCATCGGTGAGTACCCAAGCCGTCACATTTCACACGATTCGTGGTGCGTCTGGAGGGCCTGATACTGGCGGGTGGAACTTCAACGACAGATTGCATTGTCGCGACGCAACAGGTCCTTGTCCGCTGCGCGTCCTGCGGCGAACACCAGGGAGCGGGGAGAAACTCCAGACGAAAAAAACCACTTGGTCGGCGACATCCTAGGAGCGGGCGCTTGTGGTGTTTTATCGGTCCATTGTATGTATACGAACTGCCGAAAAGACACTTGGACGAAATCCGACACCCCCTGTGGCTTTGGTACGGGTCTAAACACCCCAAAAACAGCTGTTTTCGAGGGTTTGGGACTAGATGGGTTCTCGCAAACCGAGATCCAAAAATGTACCCAAATGGGTCTCAGATACTAAAAAAAAATGCGCTTTTTCGAATGCCGTGTCGAACGAGGCTCTACGACGTCGGGTTTGGATGCTACGGGCTCTCAAAGTTGCTCAATTTCACTATTTTTACTGAAGATTTTAGCGTATCAGGGGCGTTTGAAGTAGACCATCGACGATTTCACTCCTCTTTGTTTTAAATGGTGCCTACCCATAGGTAAACACCCCCACAAAATTTCAGCCATGTCAGGCAATTATTAGAGGAACTGTGAACAATTTAAGTTTTGGGTTATTGTACCACTGGGTTTAGATGGTTTTGGGTCCGGAAAAAAATACTTTTCGTAGCTATCTACATTTGATCAGCACCTCTTGAAACGCCTTTTTAACGTGGTGCCTCAAAACTTTTTTTCGAGGACAAACTCGTCTTTTTCTAGCTGTAATTGGAACATAACTTCGAGAAAAAGACAAGTTTGTCCTCGAAAAAAAAAGGCGTTTCAAGAGGTGCTGATCAAAAGTAGATAGCTAAGAAAAGTATTTTTTTCCGGACCCAAAACCACCTAAACCCAGTGGTACAATAACCCAAAACTTAAATTGTTCACAGTTCCTCTAATAACTGTCTGACATGGCTGAAATTTTGTGGGGGTGTTTACCTATGGGTAGGCACCATTTAAAGCAAAGAGGAGCGAAATCGCCGATGGTCTACTTCAAACGGCCCTGATACGCTAAAATCTTCAGTAAAAATAGTGAAATTGAGCAACTTTGAGAGCCCGTAGCATCCAAACCCAACGTCGTAGAGCCTCGTTCGACACGGCATTCGAAAGAGCGCATTTTTTTTCAGTGTCTGAGACCCATTTGGGTACTTTTCTGGATCTCGGTTTGCGAGAACCCATCTAGTCCCAAACCCTCGAAAACAGCTGTTTTGGGGGTGTTTAGACCCGTACCAAAGCCACAGGGGGTATCGGATTTCGTCCAAGTGTCTTTTCGGCAGTTCGTATACATACAAGGAACCGATAAAACACCACAAGCGCCCGCTCCTAGGATGTCGCCGACCAAGTGGCTTTTTTTGTCTGGAGCTTCTCGGGGGTAATGCGATGGGGAGATCCAGCCTTTGTGCAAAGCCGTCATTGGAATGTTGCCCTGCTGCGCGGGGCGCCACCCTGGCCCGTGTGTTAGTGTGTGTTTCGTAAGCGCGCGGTAACCCCTTGAGGTTCATGCTGGCCTTTGTTATCGGCCCGCCCCTGCCAGCCACCGCGACCAGCGTCTTGGTCAACCCTTAACTTGACACTGGAATCTTGAAAGGGGAAAGTAGAATCCGTCCGCCCCGCCCCGCCCCGCCTCACCCTGCGACGCCCCACCGCGCCCGCGCCCCGCTGCGCCCCGCCGGGGCAGGGCACGTCTTGTGTGTCCTGCGTGACCTCCCCCCCCCCCCCAACCCCCCGGGGCGCATTGCGCAATAAGAATGGTCCCCCGAAACGCGGAGTGTTACATGCTTTCTTCACATGGAGTCTGAGGAAATTTGTTAGAAAATTAAAGATGGATTGAAATGATAATGAAGGGAAACATTGGAATTAAACATTTGGAATCACATGCCTCTCTCTCGGAACTCATTCAAGGAGCCACTTCTAGCTTATGTTTGAGGTATCTTAAAAATTCCCCCTGCATGTACAAATTGGCCGCAGATGGCCTTGGTATTGTTCTGTCCTCTCCTCCGCATTGTCGAGATAGGCTGGCGTTGGCATTTTTCTGCCACTTATTTATTTAAGAAAAGGTGATCTACATTCATAGCATTAGAGTCCACTACATTCCATCGCTATGCTTTCCCACTCTGAATGTCGCTTTCATTTGCTAAGTTAGAACTTTCTTTTTGTAATATTTTACTGACAATCTAACTTGATAAGCTACTCAGTGGTAACGTAATAGACATTTTGAGGTGTTGATGCTGACATCTTTTACAAATGAATTTAACGACAGAGAAATGCCAGCGCAAACCTTCCACTAACAGTATGCGCAAGATAGGTTTTACAAGATATAGACATAATGAGTTATTTGTGGCTCACTAGGTTGACCTGTGCCTTCACTTATCATGATTTGATCTTCACTAAGTAGGACTTGATATTTCTAACAAGTTTTCTCCAGACCCATTTTAAGCAGGGTAATATTTTAACAGCACCCTTCGCTTCATGACATTTGGGTAATGAAGTGTATTTTTTGTTGCAGTTGTTGAGCGCAGCCCCCAGCCACCACCGCCAGAGGACATGGAGTGGGAGGAGGATATTGAGAGGATGGATGTGGATGAGTGAATATGATGAAGAATGAATGGTGACGAATGGCTGTGAGTGAAGAGATTGGATGAATGAGGAGATGGGAAGAGTGAAGATTGGTATGGGAGCTGAAGAGATGAATGGTGTGTGTGCGTGTGTGAATGAAGATGTGGCTGTGATATGATGAGTTGTGTGTGTAAATAAAATTTTGTAAATATGTTCCTAATTGTATTTGTATTTACTGCGGTACAATGGTTTACCTAAGTCTTTACACAAGTGGCGGATAACTAACGGAATGTATTAAGTCGCCTCAGCAGATTTAGAGAGAGATTTTTGCAATGGTCATGCAGACTTTACAGCTCTATTGTATATGGGGAACTTTTTGATAACATTGTTGGAGATGTTAGGTCCCTCTAATATCCCATGAAGAAATTGAGATCCCATGCATAATGGGTTGTTGTATAGAACTCAACATGTAAGTCTGCGTTAATACAATAACAGTGCATTTTTTTCTTAGGGGAGCGATTCTCACGTTTCGGGGTAGTTTCGTTTCTTCTGACTCCTGTGCCCAAACGAGCGCAGATATCGACATGGGGTTTGTTTCTGATGTTAGGGAGGGCCATTGCCCACTAAACGCACACATTTCGAAAAGTTCACGTTCGTTGGATTGGTCTACGTAGTGTTTGGAATACCCCAAATGTAACTTCCGTGATTGTCCAAAGAGAACATACTCCAACTTTCCGCCCCCAGTCTGGCGGTGTGGTTCGAAAATGCTGCCAACTGTCGATGGGGATTTGAAGCTTGGCATGTCTCGAGCTAATTTCAACAAAAGACCAATACGCCAGACTTCTTTCAAAGGTACTTATGCTGCAACGAAAAATGTCCTCCGTATATTCAATTTCGCTACACAAATGTCGAAAAGGGAGCTCTGGACTTCTCCCCAAGCCAAACTTTTAACTTTCCATAACACAAGCCATCAAAGTGGAGTCCCTGGGATATAATTGCATGGGTCGCGGAAATCTAACATGCTGTACACGGTCTCAAAGCGGACTAGAGCATTATAAAATGGCGTGTATCAACAATTACCTGTAACTTCCGTGGCACCGTTTACCCAATGTTGCAGCAGCAGTAAGTGAAAAAATTTTCCGCTTAAATGTCGGGCTTAGAGTATCATTTGACCCTGGAACGACTTTTAATCCACAGCAAGCCCAAATCAGCCGTGAAAGCTGATTTTCACACTTTGTAACTTCCGTGATAACGTAATTTCCGTGATCAAAACACCCACTAAAACGTATGGGAATACCTTATGGCTCATGTTTTTAGGAAGATAGTACGAGGTCTTTACCATAAATACCACTGCCATAACTCTAGTATCATCCAGGGCCCTAATAATCAGAAAAACTTAATTGGATATTTCTCACTTTCGGCAAATCAGAGACGTCAAAACTACCCCGAAACGTGAGAATCGCACCCCCCATTGTAGCGGGCCGCCATCTTGACCCCCCATTGTTGCGGGTCCGCCATTTTGAATTTTTTTTCTCAAAATTTTTTTGTGAATTTTTTTTGTTGAAAATTTTTTTTTTTGGTGAAAATTTTTTTATGGTCGCCCACTTTTGCGAGGGTAACCTAACCTAACCTAAGTCACCGGAAGGGCCCAAGTCACCTGAAGGGCCTAAGTCGCAACCTGGATCCGCCCCTTCGTGGCCCATTGTAGCGGGTCCGCCGCAGCTACTTTTCGGATCCCAAGCAGGTCTGTACCTGTCCGCCGCAGCTTCTTTTCGGAGGATAACCTAACCCAAGCAGGTCTGTACCTGTCCGACGCCGCGGTCTCACCTGGTGCATGACACGGAGGCACGCACGCGAGTGCGGTCCGCCGCCACGTTTTGAATGCCGCCGCGCCGCTAGCGCTGCCAGCGCGCTCTACCGGCCCGGTCGGAAACTCCGCCTCTGCGCATGCGCGCACTGCGCAGCGGTGCTGTCTGCTAGCGGCAATCAGCCGACTCTTTGTTTCTTTCTCTAGTTTTATTTTTCAGTTGTCTCTTGACTGACGCACTCATATTCTATCATTCCTATTTTATGTTTCACCTCGCACATTTTATTTCATGCCATGTATCTGTTTTAAATCTGAAATACGCGACGAGCGGCAGCGCCGTGTAGTCTCCAACCCAAAAGCCTCTGGCGGCGCAACAAGTTCCTTGTTATTTCATTAGATTTGAATGAAGGAAGTAAAAAAGTTGCATTGCGACGATTTCTACATGTGTTCGGTACATTCTGATCTCTTCGGAACGATTCAATACGCGCGCGAACGCGAAATAAAACGAATTTCGCCCGTGCCGGTTTTCTGTCCTGCGCTCTGATTGGCTGCCGGTCTCCACTCCTCCTCTCCCCTCGCCCTGCCCGCTTCCGCACGGGAACGAAGCAGCCACTTGTTGTTTATCCGTCGGTCGCCATGGATGCCCTTCGCGACGCGTACGCCTCTTCTGAGTCGGACGAAGAAATCACATGCGAAGTCAATCCCCAAGACCTCTTTGGTGTAAGTAGGGTGAAACGCTGTCCGTTTGTGTCATGAATTATTATTGAAGGGCGAAGCTATGCCCGATTTCGTACCTGCGCGAGGCAATTCTAACCTCGTCGCCATGTTGGTTTTCTCACCAACTAATGCTCCGTTTATTTTCCCTTTTCCAGCTGTGTGAATCTAGAATCAGTGCCGAATTTTCGCGAGTGTCAGTGTTTCGTTACTCTAAAACCGCGTTCTCGAAATGTGTCGCGAGTGTACTTTGTGGGCCAGTGTTCAATTTCCTTGTCTGTTGCGGAGGCTCCGCCGCCGCTGTGTTTTCGCCTTGTTATCGGCGACGATGGAAACTCTGTTTCTGTCACTGTGTTCTCGCCTCGTTTCTGGCGACTCTTTTGCTGTCAGTGCAGTGCTCGCCTTGCTTGGGCTAAGCCTGCCCATTTTATTTTTTCTCTTCTAGTGTTTGACGGCGTGCTGCGCCGTGTCCATTGTGTTTTTAGATTGCAGTAAATTCCTTAGTATTTTCTCTCATGTCGGGTGGTCTTGGCATGCCACCCATCGTCCCGAATCAATGAAAGTTTGGTTATGTTGTTGTTGTTCAATGAGTTTGGCCAAAAGTGTGTGTGGGCGGGTTAGGTTCATCGCCATCTCCTTCACCATGAATGAGTAAGTCAAGCTGTGTCAACAGCTCAACTGTCAGCATGTGTTTCTCTAATTGCAGCTGCGCTTTTAAATGCATTCAAGGGTTTTTTTAGAGTGTCTCGCCTTTTTGCTCTGTGCTTTCGTTCACCAACCTAAACTGGCAGTTTGGCTTCTAAGCTTCCATTTTGGGTTCGTGTTTTGCCAATTTCTATGTCATGAAACTTATCCTTTTGTACCCTTAATGGTTTCAGCTTTTGTCGGACATTAGCAGTGAGAACAGTTCATGCCAGGATGTTGAAGATGTAAGTACTTTTATGTCCTTTTACGATACGTAATTTTTAAAAATCAGTTTTCCATTGTCTTATCTGTGGGTTTTTTTCGTGTCAGGTGGAAGCTCAAGAGATTGCTGCCCTTGAGGAAAGGGAATGCAGCTCGATCCCCCAGGTGGAAGCTCGAGAGATTGCTGCCCTTGAGGAGGGGGAATGTACCCCAACTCCCCCTTCATCTCCTCAGCCGTTAGTCGATGTAAGTATTAATTTTTTTATTGTCAGTGTCCTTTATGCCCTCAAGTTGCTGTCAGTGACCAAATTGTTATTTTTTATGTTATCAGGTGTTTGTGCCTGCGCCCTCTGATGCGGATGTATCATCATCTCCACGTTTTGAGGTTCCGCCCCCCTCAAATGACCCATTAGGTCTTATGGAGGGCATTTCTTATCCCCGGAAGGGGCTGTTGCCTACTCCACCAAAGAGCTTGTTGTTGCAGCCCTCAGTAATTGATGTAAGTATTAATTTTATATTGTCAGTGACCTTATTGCCCTCAAGTTGCTCCCTTTGACCAAATTGTTATTTTTTATGTTCTCAGGTGTTTGTGCCTGCGCCCTCTGAGGAGGCTGTTTCTTCTCCTCCATCGGGGTATCATTCTTATCCAAGGAAGGGGTTGCTGCCCACCCCACCAGGGGCACTGTCCATGCCCGACTTGTCGCTGCCTCCTTGGTATTCCCCTCAAAAGGCGCGGCCAAGTGGTGTAAGTATCACTGTGTGTTCCCATCAAGTATCTTATTGTATTATCTATCAGTCTGTCCTTCTTTCTCACCATTTCCTATGTTTCGTTTTCAGCCTGTCTTCAGTCGATTAGGAAAGAGGCGGAATCATAAGAAGCGTGACTACTGTAAGCCTTACCCTGCAGCTGGACTGCGACGACATGGTCCTCCTTCTCCGCCTCCTTGCTGCTGATCTGTTTTGATTTTTTTGATTCTGTGATTATCAATCTGTGATTTTATTTTTTTGCCCACCAATCAATCGAGTGTTATCATCTTTTTTTTATTGTTAATCATCGTTTTTTTTTTATTTTTTTATTAAATTTATGGGCTTTTGTTCTCAATCCTGTGTGACTTCTTCCTATCCTTTTCCGAAGATTTTCTAACGTTAATATCTTTTGACAATGGCCTTCCAGACTCTCAGTTCTTGTTACAAATCCAAGTGTTAGTCATGCTTGCATGAAATTAGGATATAGAGAGCTAACATGTTGATTACATACTTGACTTTTTGTCTCATGTTAGTGTTTGAGAGGAACTCAAATTTTTTTAGCTGTTGATTGACTCTTTGACTCCATTTTCATTTGAGAAGCTTTATTTTAGTTCAGAGCCACTCTCTGCAAAGTTTGATGCTAATATATTCACTCCTTCAAAATTTTTGCTTCAGAATTTGACTTAAAGGTTTTGCGGCAGATTTAGAGCCGAAGTTGCTTCAAGTTTTGTTAAGGGTCAAACTGAATTCTCCTATTCCTCTTGGTGTCTTATTATCCAAGCCTGAGTACTTCTGATATGATTCCAGACAAAATTAATTTTGAATTTCCTCAAAAAAAGTTGGTTTTTTAGTCATAGCAGTGCAGCACTCATTCACTAGGTTATAAGGCAAACTAATAAGAACTCGCTTCGCTCGCTGGGGGGGCTGCGCCCCCCCAGACCCCCCGGGTGCGGGCCTTCGGCCCGCTGTGCAAAAGCTAAGCGGTCTGCGACGGGGGACCTTCGGTCCCCCGTCTTGACCTGCTTTTGCTGGGTTTGGGCCCTTCGGGCCCATGCTGGACCGTCCGCCTACGTAAGGCCAATTCGCTTTTTCTGGCCCTTTTGGGCCCGCGTCGTCGTCTTACATGCACTGTTGGCCTTTGTTCGAAAGCCGGAGAAAAACGATTCAGAAAACCCACGACACCCTTAGCGCGAGTCGAACCCGCGAAACCACCCGCACTGCTGCTGCTGCTGACCTCTCAACGCCCACTCTGCAACGCCGCCGAACTGACTGCAGTCGCGCTGCGTAGTAGCATTGCCAC